CACGGTCTGTGATGGGTATTTGGTTCCTCTGTCACGGTCTGTGATGGATATGAAATTTCTCTGTCACGGTCTGTGGGGGGGAGGGGGGGGGTGCAAATTTCTGCCCCTAAACACTTCAACACTCCTTTCAGGTCGTGTTTCACAAAAACGTTTGCTAGTATCTTCTTCAATATCTTTTAATGCATTTGGATAAATTTCTTTGATTTGTTCACTTGTTAAATGTCTATTAACACCATGTAATGAAATATTAACTAATCCATTTGAATTTAATTGAATTAAATTTCCATTAAAACTATCATAAATTAATCCTTTAACACTAAAATGATCATTGTATGAAATTGGAAGGAAATCACAATTATATTCATATGTATCAATAAGATATTCACGCATTGATTCATAAATTAATTTATGAAGATCAAATAAACGATAACGAATTAGTGTATGGTCTAAATCAAAACCAATCCAATCACATGATAATAATGAAAATACTTTCTTTGTTGAAGATGAAGCCATTTTATTTTTAATTTTGTACTCACTCTGACTTCCAAAAGATAAACGTAAAAGAATACCAGTTTACGATATCTAGAAAAAAAATACATGTATATCACGCCGGTTCAGGTTCGATACATGACTACATAAGATATAAAATTACATATATACAGAAGCAAAAATATATTAACAAGATATCATGTTCCGTAGATAAGAAATAATGAAAAAACTATGAAGAGAAAAGTAAAACAAGGATGGCAAGAGATGGAAAATAAACAAATATGACCAAGATAATGAAAGACATGAGTGAAGATAGATATATGAAAGTGAGTTACAGTGAAACCAAAAACGACACCTTTCACATATATAAAAACTCAAGTCATTGAACAAGATATGACTGCAGTGTCTTTCACGCATATGTTTGACTCGTTTGATTCGAAAGAAATATCCCGATTGGTCGTTTTTATTCTTATGAAACACATCCCAGTCCATACTTTCTCACTATTCATAAAAGGTTATGTTACAGTAATAGAAACAAAAAAGAACGCAGGAGGGAATTCAATTGGCTCCCATAGCAGTGTCTAAATTATTCAATACTTTGTGTTTTCATATCTTTTTTGTTCGCCATTCAGTGACTCTTCTATTGAAACACGCGGAGATATGCTAAAAACGTTGATATCAATCAGGGTGGTGTGGGTGTGGCTGTGGCTGTAGGTGTGGGGTGTGGGTGTGTGGGATGGGTGTGCGATGTGAATGTGGGTGTAAAAGTTGTTTTAAACCACATCCACACACCCACACTCACACACCCTCACAGGGTGTGGGTGTGTGGGTACATGGTTGTGGGTCTTCTTCACCCACGCTCAGCCACATCCACACCCCACACACATGCACCCAGCCATACCCACATCCATACACTCACACCTACACACCCACATCCACACCCCACACACATACACCCACACCTACACCCATATCCACATCTTGCACCCGCACACACACTTACATCCACACCCACAACCACACTCACATCCATCCACACCCACCCTGGGGAAATATACCATCGCCAATCTTCCTTTTCGCCAATTGTACTTTTCGCCAACTGGCGAATATACTATGCCAAAAAGAAGTATTTATTGACGCATTTCACACTAGAGATTCGTCAATTTGAAGGGTGTGGGTGTGGGTGGCGGGTGTGGGAGGCTCTCTGTAAGTTCGCCAATTTGGAATTTCGCCAACAGTATATTCGTCATTGGCAAAATTCCTCACGACATTCGCCAATTGGTGAATTTCTAGTATGAAATTCGCCAATTGTGATCCGTAGAATTATGACTCAACTAAATTGATGATAGAATATTTAAGTATTCCGATGTCATATTTGATACGGAGTTTAAAAAACGATGAACAGTATATTATTTTTACTGATCTTCTTCTGATCATAAGTTTTCTTGTATATCAAGATACATCCTTTTATAAAAACATTATTTAAACTTCTTTTATTTCATATAAAGAAAAAAATGAACCTTCTATACGCATATAAATTAAATAAGTTTATATTCCTATAACTGTCTTTTCTAATCAACTGTATCTTCATTATTGACTGAATGTGCATAATTCAGTTTGATCGGTAACAATATCAAGTACACTGTAAGAAAATAGGTTTATTATGAAACTTGTGCCCGCGCTCAGATCCTTTAAGGTTTCGTATCGGTTTACCGAACCTGAAAAGGATCATCAAACGATTTGCTGAACTTTTTTAGGTTTCGTTAATCGATACGAAGCCTTAAAGGATCTGAGTGTGAGTACAGGTTTCGTAATAAACCTTATTTTTTACAGTGTACCATAGTTGAGTTACAACTCAATTGATTCAAATTTACGAATCTCTAGTGTGAAATACGTCAATAAATATTTATTTTTGGCTTAGTATATATTCGCCAGTTGGCGAAAAGTACAAGTGGTAAAAAGGAAGATTGGCGATGGTATATTTCCCCGGTGTGGGTGTAGATGGATATGGGTGTGTTTGTGAGTGTGGATGTGGGTGTGGGTGTAAGTGTGGGTGTGTGGGTGCGGGTGCAAGATGTGGATGTGGGCGTGAGCGTGGGGTGTGGCTGGGTGCATGTGTGTGGGGTGTGGATGTGGCTGGGCATGGATGTGGCTGAGCGTGGATGAAGAAGACCCACAACCATGTACCCACACACCCACACATCCACACCAACACACACACCCACACCCACATACCCATACCAACACACCCACACCCTCAAAGCTTTTATTTTATTAAGTCCTGTAAAAACAATAGACAATAATTGAGTGTTATTAAATTTTTATTTTAGTGATTATATATGAGGGGACGATATTCATAGTCAGAAAGAAATAATAGTATTCATTTAGGAGGTGAAAATGTATCGAGCTGTTGACCAAACCATACGCATGCAAATCCTTTGTAAATACCAGCACCCATGGCTTTCATTGGTGTGTTTTGAAAAGCACCTCGTTGGATTATAACATCTTTATGTGCTGGACTTCTTATCCAACTGTTAACAGCTTCTATTGGATCAACTGTCACTTCTCTGTTTCGATAATCCGCAAACCCATATGCTATTTCAAAACCGTAATATTTATAATTACTTATTTCAGATGGTTTACTCCACATTAATTGTGCTTGTCTATGATCAGGTGTATATATAACTGGTCTCCAATTTCCTTTATTACTCCAGCTATGCGCATTACCACCATAAACAGCTGGATTATTTTCAACAACATCAACAGCATGTGTATGAGCAACATAAGCAAGATTAGCAGATGCTTGAAGAGATGGTAAACCAAGTTGTCGACGATAATTGTTAATAAGTGTAAATATTTTTGTTTCCTTTGCATTCATACCATAAAATAAGGAATTTTGGCCTTCACTAGCTTTTAATAAGAAGAAACAAAGTTACGAGCGATACAAACACAGTCCTTTTTTTAATTGAATAATCTTAGCATAGGTGCATTATTTTTTGAAAATACCTTAGAGATTGGTAATAGTTACTATTCTGCTGCTCTCTACCTACATACTAAGAAATTAAGACTCATCACAAAGTGATATCTATAGCATTCAAAACTTTATTAGTATGCCAATATGTATTGATATTAAATTCCCCCGATATACAGAAGTTATACCCATTTCTGCAAATACCTTCATATAATTCTCATCTGAAAAACGCTAAACATCTGTCGGTTAAGGACTTAGAAGCTAAATAAACTAACTAGCGTGTGAATACTATTGTAGGGCTTCCTGGATATTGATGAAACTCACATTTTGGCTAACTCAGGTGACGAGTGCTTATGAATCAATCATTTCATTGGTACGTGCTGAAAAGAGGAAACACTGCTACGAGGATGCTTTCATAAACTAGCAGTCTCGCCCTCCTTCCCTCTAGGGAATAAACGACCATCCCACAAAAGAAGACCATGCTTAATCTGAGAACCAATTTAAACTGTATGATGTAAGAGACAACATAGAAGACCATTCTAATGCCACTTAACGTGTTGTTCTTTTTAAATAACTCGATATTTGATTTTTAAGTCAATAGAAACTTTCAGGAAGCGCACAACATAATTATGCGGGTCAGTCACACCTACTACCATCACAACTGCTGCTGCCACAGCCACCAGTGAGCACCATCTTTCTTACACATTTATTTCATGATATGCCTGCGAGGAGAGAGGGAATTAGTGTGAGTAGGATTCTAGAAAATATCATGCGTACTTTGGTTGCTGAATTATAAAATTTGTTCACATAGTTCATGGGTGTCCAGTGAAAAAATTTTACTGATTAGAATTGATTTAAATTTCAAAATCTTGGATTCTCCAAGCGATAAATATCGATTATAATTTACAACAAAATCTGTTTTTGATCGGTTTCAACTAAAAAAACTATTTAAATCGATTTCATTGATATTTTCTCTTACAGGAGTGATTATCAATTGAAATCACATTTCGAGATGTGGCATGAGTGTTAAGAACCAGTCTATCATTAGAATTACACCTTGTTGAGCTCAGAAGTTCGACGAACAACACTTTCTTCAATGATCATGATTAAGACCTATTGAAAATCTCTTAATTAGCTTTATGAGATTGAAATTTTAGTCGGTCACCCGAATTCTAATCGATTGCAAATAAAAATTAATTTGACGTTACTTAGGGTGTACCAAAAGTTCTGATCACGATGTTTAAAATTTTATAAAACAGTAAATATTGAATGTTTTATTATGGGAATACATAGTATAACGTCTCGTCTTTAATAGTCTATATAGCAACTCTATATTGGATTTAGTTCTAACATTCTGCTAGACTAAGTCTCTAATTTAGCGACTATGCTAATACTTAACTAATCCTTGTCCAATGTTCAGGTATATTCTGAAACTTTCCATATTTTCCATTGATCACTCTCTCTCGTCACATTTTATGACGTCATGTTCTAGAATATTACATTTCGATAGTATATATAGATTAGAGGTCGTTCACTGTCAGCTCATTTGTACCGCACCCGACTTCAAATCGTGATAGAATCTGATTTCAACTGTAAAACAAGCTATTAAACATGACTGATGAATTTAATCGATAGTATATCAGAATTCGAGCTATTTTGGGAATAGATTCAAAAACAATCTTCGACGAGCTTACAGAAGCATTGGGACCTGATGCTCCGTCATATCCAACAGTCAGAAGATGGGCGAAACGTTTTCGCGAAGGAAGAGAAGATGTCAGTGATGATCCTCGATCTGGTCGTCCGATTTCGGTACTTACAGATGAAAATATTGAACTCGTTCGACAAGTTATCGAAGATGACCCACACTCAACTTATAATGATATTACGATTGAGAATGGTCTATCTCGTGGTACAATAGAACGAATTATTCATGATTGTCTAAAGATGAGAAAAGTTACATCACGTTGGGTTGCCCATCAACTCACTGACAAACAAAAACAAGAACGACTTAGAGTTTGTCATTAAAATTTAGAGAAATTTAGAAACGGAACATGGCGGTTATGTGATATTATTACTGGTGATGAGACATGGATTTATCACAGACAGATTGGTCGGAAGTCAAGCAATTCTACCTGGGTTGGTGAAAATGAACCACCAAGGACCGTTGTTCGTCGGAATAGATCTGAACGTAGAACACTGTTTTGCTTATTCTTTAAATCCTCTGGTCCTGTTCTTATACAGAAAGTAGATAAAGGCAAGACTATCGATCACAACTACTATATTGAAAATTGTCTCATACCTGTTATCAATGAAATAAGAAAAGAAGAAAAATCATCACGCACAAAATATAAACTGCTTCATGATAATGATCATCTTCATACTCATCGAGATGTTGTTAATTATTTAATAGAAGAAGGTATCGAAATAATCCCACATCCACCATATTCACCAGATCTTGCACCGTGTGACTTTTGGCTAAATGATTATATCAAGAGGAATTTGGCTGATCACACAAACGAAGAATCACTGGCTCAGGACGTTTTCACCATAGTGAAGAATATTCCAATAAACGAGTTTAAAAAGACTTTCGATAAACTGTTAGAAAGGATGGAACTTTGTATAGATAATAATGGTGATTATTTTGAGCATTTAATAAAATCAAACTACGAATATTTCTTTCTTTTCGTATTCTGGTTTTATGTTGTCAGGATCTTTTCTTGGCTATAAATACTATAGATTTTATCTAACAGGATGTTATAACTAAATCCAAGATAGAGCTGCTATATAGATTATTAAAGACGAGACGTTATACTATATATTCCCATAATAAAACATTCAATGTTTACTGTTTTATAAAATTTTAAACATCGTGATCAGAACTTTTGGTACATCCTAAGTAGATAGTCGATTGTAAGCTTTGAAAACAATTATTTTCTCAATCGATTATAAGATAAAAATCAGTTATAATCAAATTATTCCTAAAAACTGAGTTCTCAGGTAACACATCAAAGTTAAATTACCCACCATAAAAAAATAGTCGTGATTTTTCTTTTGATATTTTTCACTGGCTAATACAGCATTGTAGGAAAAATACTTTTTTTGGGCATTAATGCAAAAAAACTGGGACTTGCCTTAACTGTAAGTCGCTATTTGTGGTGCCGGGGCCTCCTGCTAATACCATCGTCATCATCACAATCATTACGAGATAATAATCATCACTCTTAGCCACATTTATAAAGGATAGAGTATAAGAATGAAAGTTAAGATTCAACAACACAATAACACGTTGCCCTGTCTGAAAGTATATTTTGAACTAAAATGACATATCTACTAATGCGTGACATAATGAGAAAAAACATCAGAGCATAGTTGGAAAAGCAATTGCAATGCATCCCAATTTATATTTTACTTTTACCTTGTCGACTGCTGATTAACATATCATATCGATATTTAAGACGTCTTCCATCTGTTGTTGATAAACAGTAAAATAGACATAAAGTTAACATAGTTACGAAATAATGCATGTTGTATTATATTGGCTGTTGAAATAGAGCTTGTATTCAGAATAGTTACTTAGACAAAAAGATACATTCGTTTTTATATATACACTTTTATGGTCTATCCTTCAGCTTCAATTCATAGCCTCAAGTTTTAAATAAACATAAATTCTCAGGGACTCATTGAGCCTATACAAATAATAACTAATCTTAAAACAAATATTTATATATATGATTCGTATAAACACTACACATGTAAATATTTTTTCAATTA